CATCAGTGATTTCATCGTCTTTCATCTGACTCACACATTAGCCAGCTTTCTAATTTCCCTGACCCCTTATTAGCTGAAGCCCAGACCATTTGGGACAATTCCGTTGTCCCAAATACTCACGACCCTCCTCATGTTCACAGAGAGACTGGGATATTCCACACAACGAAGGCTCCGTCCCTTACCTAAAATCGATCCTTCACGACGACGACGATCTCACAGTTTTTCACCAATTGAACCAAGGAGCCGGTTACAAGTTTGTGGAAACCATACCCTCCAACAACCTTGATTTGTTGCTCTCCGCTGACGAGCTAAGATTTGCTATTGGACTACGGTTCAATTGATTGTTCTTCCGTATCAATGCAAACATTGCAAAACAAACCAGTGTCAACATAAAGGGTAGACATTGTCTTCATTGTCGCTTTTGACGTGGCCGTTTTTCACAGCACACCTTATGCAACGACATCATACTACGCGCCCTCAAATCATGAGGCATTCCATCTAGACATGAACCAACCGGAATTTTTAGAACAGATGGAAAACGTTTTGATGGAATGTCCTTGATTCCTTGGTCAAGGGGTCAGCTCCTGGTTTGGGACTTCACCTGCATTGACCCAAATGCACCATCTAACCATAACGTTGATGCCCTCGCCCTCGTAGAATCTCGAAAAACTATAAAGTACAGTTTATTAGACCCTTCTTTCTTATTCATATCCATCGCCTGCTCCATTCTCATCACCTTCGGTAGCAAAGCTCAACGTTTTTTCAAAGAATTAGGCAAACGGATTTGCGAAAAAACCGATCAGCCTAAGGAATCCCTCTTCTTACGCCAAAGACTTGCTACCGCCATTATTCGCTCTAACTATCAAAGTTTCATATCTTCCATTGAATAACCTTCCATATTCCTAGCTTCCTTTTTTTATCCCCTATCCTTTCCCGTAAATTCTATTTTCTACATTTTTCACTTTTATTTATTTTACCGTTTAAAAAAATTAATTATTTGCTACTACATTTTGACAACATATCATATCAGTAAATATTCAAATAAAGTAACCCATGACCGGAAAATATATATATATAATTATTCACAAATATTAATAACGAATTCAATTCAAAATCTTATATAAATAAGAATGAATATTAAAATTTAAAAGTTAACGTTGTTTAACAAATTTTTATAAATTTGATGATTAAAATAACGTCTAAAGTACATTTGTCCAATCTAATTTGTAGTGGGGTTACTTAATAGTAGTGCACTGAAGGATCTTTCCATCAATACTTACGAGTAAGGAGCAGCTAAAACTACGTAAGGCAATTTCTGGTTATATATTAAGCAATTAATTTTTGTCGTAATATCTATTAACGAATTAGGGTTAAATAACATTGAATACATTTCAGCTCATAATTAAACTCGAGCCAACTATTGGGTCAACTAACCAGAGCCAAATATTAGGACGAAATCAAATCCTGAGCCGACTCGAGCAAAATTCAACTCATTTAGGCGGTTTAAGCCTAAACCAATTCTTTAGGTCAGACCCCGAAAATAAAATAAATAAACATACCCGAATTTTTTTGATGATATATGAATTATAAATATCTAAATACCGATAAATTCATAATAAAGTTAGTCCGGTCCTATAAGATAATTATTTCGAATTCGATGCTAAATATTTAATTAATATTGAATTGAACCACTCCTTCTCTAATTTTTAAATTGGTTTATAGATCAAAACGCGAGTTTGCTACTCGAGTTTCTAGTTTAAAATAAAAATTATCAAATTTTTATAAGAAGTGAACAATTTAAAAAAAAAGAATTCTTAAAGATAATTATTTCTATGCTAATTTTAAAATACTCGTCCTCTATGCATAAAAATATGATTGTGCAAAATATTATGAATATTATATTATTTGTTTTGGGTTGGTGCACGACTTGGTCGGTGCTTGAGTTAGTAGTGCTCGGGTCTATGGATTTGGTCGACAGATCGACCCATTTGGTTAGGTTGGTTCTGGTTCATTTTTTCTACCAAAAACCTGACCAAAAATTATGCCAATTCGACCCAACCATGCAATTCCCACACTACATCAACGCTAAGCAAATCCTAGCCATCGGCGTAGCCACCGTTCTCGGTCTTTCTGGAGAACAGACATCACAGTCGTCTACTCATCTTTCTAAAAGGGGATGATTAATTATCAGTTTGCTCGACTGCTTAATGCCTTTCCAAGGGCTTCGTCTGACAAATGAAATTAAAATGATTGAAAATTATTGATGATTTTTTTTTTGTTCGATGGTTTGATCAATCTTTGAAAAATATACATAAATGATGATATTTTCTCACTTGCTAAAAACTTTAAATAGTTTGAGAAAAGTGAATGCCAATTTTACAATGGTATATGTTGTGGATTGTCTTGTGAAACGGCTCGATTTGAGCCGATTTTTAAATATGACTAACTCAATATTTTAGCTGGAAAAATACCTTATAAGTCTCGAGATTTCGCTAATAGATGTCCAAACTTTTGTGCCACCTGTGAGCAAAATCTTCAGGCTTGCTTAATATTTTTGAGGATAAAATATTGAGTTAGCTGTTTTTAAAAATCGTCTCAAATATAGCCATTTTGTGGATTATTGGAAATCATAATATAGGAATAGCTTAGAGATGGCCAGACATAAACACCTTTCTTACAAATATTCTTTTAGAACTCAATCTGTCAAAAATTATTGGATTCAGAATTTACTAATACGATTAATAAATTTAAATTGCGTAACATACTATATGTATAAAAATATTAAAAAAAAGAGGAATATGTATTAACATAATAATAGCTAAATATAAAAATTAAATAAACCTCGCTTTGCTATGCTCGTTCTCTCACTCTGTTTCACAGAGACTCAGTAGCGTAGCCAGGATTGATCCATAAGGGGGGGGGGGTTAAAAATTTTTCCATTTTAAAAGTTTACCAATATTTTGTGCTTTATTAGTGTCTAAAACCAGTATAGTAGCCAGTATAAATGAAAAAATATTGGAACAAAATTTTATCCAAATTTATGATTAATACGCAACTGAAAGCATTATTATGAAAATTTTATCAATGTTTAGTCAATTGTAAATTAGTTAAATCCATTCGGTGTAGAAAGAAAAAAAAATCGCCCCCCCAATACTCCCATTATTTATAATCACTCAATATATTATTCTATGTTAAAAATGATTATTTAAATTAAATTTTTGCATATAACAAAATTTTGCAGAGAATTTCATTATGATTTTGTTTATTATTAAAATACTTTAGTATAAATAACACCCCTTTATTTAACTATGTACAATAAAATAAATTTTAAAATGTAGAGAAATTTTATACAGATTATATTAAAATTTTTTTCTAAATAACTATTTAAAAAAAAATAAAATTACAATAAAATATGAGTAATTCTTGTACGGCATTTAAAAAATCTAATTTAACAATATTAAAAATGAGTATATTAACAAAAATAAATAATTCTTATTAGAGATCTACGAAATTAGGAAAATCGTGTTCGGGTTGGGTCGGGCCTAATGTTTTTTAAAAAAATTCGGGCGGGTTGGATCGGACCTTGAAATTTTTTAAAATATATCTAAATATATCAATTTTATGTTAAATTTTTTATGTAAAATAAAATATTTGATTTCATTTATAAAAACTAGACGCCATATAACATATATCTTTTATTTTGAGCAATTATAAAAATGAATTTCTATATTTAAATAAGTTTGGGCCAGGCCGACAAAACTTTTTTAAAGGTTTAACTTCCCCACCCTTGTCTACGCCACTGCAGAGACTATAACTCGTTCGAAGCGCATTAGGATGGGTAACAAGGGTTAGATTTGTTGGGAGACTAAAGTTTGGATATAGATGGGAAATCAGTTGAATATTCATAGTTAAAAATGACATATTTTTTTTGGTTGAAATCTGACTATTTTTAAAAATCGGCTAAAAAGAGTGTTTCGTACATCACTAGTAGTGCGTAATAGGCGCATAAGTGGAGGTGGGTAAAGAAAATGACTAATAAATAAAATAGATGTTTATTTATATTAATAAAAGTAATTAGAATTATGGAAAAATCTTTATGTAATTATAACGTTATTGTGATAACTAGACCTGCTCAATTCTAACCAGTTTGCAGGATGTTCATATATTAAAAAGAGTGACAATTTTATCTAGAATACTTGTATTATTTTTAATAAAATTTTGATTGAAAATAATTTTTTCCAATCCATTTTTGAACCACATAACAGATTGTAAGAAAATCTATTTCTTTTCTTAGTTACTAAGTCACCTGCTTTAAAAAAATAATAGTTCACAAGGAACGGAATTATATATATTTTTTAATATAAAATGTCTATTATTCAGAATATTTAGAATAAAAACATGTAAAAGAAAACGAATATTATTCTTTTAAGAATTAACATAACTAAGAGCCTGCAATACGTTGACTTAAAGACCTCCGATAAAATTTATGGGGAAAACTACCTAATAGTGCCCCCCCCCCTCTAGCAAAACCCCGCCCACGCATATGAAGGAGGGGTTATCGTTTATATCTTCAAAACTACTAAATAAATTTCTTACTCTTAATCTTTTCCTAATATTGAAATCCACTTTATTTTTTTTATTAATTATTACAATTTTTAATTAAAAAATAGGTTTAAAATTAAAAAAAAAATAAATGATTCTTTGTCACCCCTAAAAATCGGCAAAATATCAGCGCCCTGGATAAAGTTCACTTTTCATAACCTATAGTATTTAGTAAAAATAAATATAATTGGCTTCTTTAAATTTTCTTCTGATATCCCAAATTTTAATATAAATATTTGAAAAAAATGGTAGATTTTTAGACAATTCTTAATAAAAAAAGTCCGTCTTATTGATTTGAATCTAGTTACGCCTACAAATTTAAAAATCTTGGTTTTTTAAAATATTTTTATCGGCATATAAAAATTTTAAATTGGTGCTCATATTTATTTTATAATTAGAAAAGCGATATCGAGACAATGTGTTTTAACGATTTATCTCACTTATTCACTGCTAAAAATACCATGAAATTGTGTGATGAGTTGATAAATACATACCTAGAGGCTAATATGGATGATAGAATGACAAAAAGTAATTATTAAAAAAATTAGAAATTTTGGTTGAATTTGATGGTGAATTTATATTTTACATTTGCCAAGTTTAAAACTAACGAATAACATACTTAGATATTCGCAATTAATATTAAAACTAGCTGATAGCCCGTCAAGAATGATGGGGAATCAGAATTTTCTTATTTATTTAATGATGGATGAATAATAAATTTTCCTATTTTTACACAAAACTCATCTAGTAAGAATATACTTTTTATATTAAAAATTACAAATACAAATGAATAAAAATTTAGTTTAAAAGATTTTTTATTGTGCACATAAATTAAAATACTAACCATATACTTCATAGACATAATTTATAAAAAATAATGGAAAATTCTAGAATAACTTCATCTAAATAAATATAAATTTCTGAATCACATCTCATAAGATAGGGAAATTTTTGATTCATTCATCATCAAATAAAGGTAAAATTTATTATTCATCCATCATTGAATAAAGAAGAAAATCTGATTCCCCGTCATTCTTGACAGGCTATCATCTAGTAACTTATATTTTTGATAACGGGTTCTTAAAAAATCCCTAAAATATATGTAAAAGGAAAGGTCACAACAGGCATTATTTTTTTTGTTATTGATGCTAAAATAAAAATGGATTAATATTTCCTCCATACTTACACTTCACAATGGTTTTCTTTATTTTTTGTGTACAACAATTTCTTGAATCCAGCAATTATCAGAGATTTTTTGCAAATGATTTAAATAAATAAGGCATATCTGTGGTTTGATTATTCCTTTAAGTTCCAATAAAGTCAGATGGAAAAAGAAATAATTCAGTTATTGAAATTAGAGACCTTCACGGGCCTTGATTTATTCATCCGCCTCCAGCCCAGGTTAGCAGTAAGAATAATTTGCAAGCCCAGTCCATATTTAATAAAATATTCAAACCCAAGCTCATCATAAGTTTCAAAAATTTTGCCCAAACCCATATCCAAAAATTTAATTTATTGTTTTAAATGAATAAATAAAATATTTAAGTGTATTTAGGCAATCACTTTGATTGCAATACTGACATTTATTATTATTTAAAATGCAATATATTTTTAAGTTAATTAATAACAGTTTAATAGGCTAAATTTAAATGAAATTTTTTTATACTTTTTATAAAAACCCTGTCCTGGCCCAGGCACTTTAATAATTATATTATACCTGGCATCCCTTATTAAAATATTTTGTCACCTGAGTTAGAGATTATTCTATCCCCATTTTTATCAAGAATAATTTTTTTGATTGATTGATTATTTAAGAATATATTAATCTATTTACATAAAAAAATCTTAGATTATTCTATCTATATTTTTTTTTATTGATAAAAATATATTATTCTGATTCTTTAAAACATTTTCAAGTATTATGTAAATGGAATTAAGAGTTTTTGAACTGATTGTATGGTTTTATATAAGGATCCTGATACTGGTTCAAAAAACAAAAATTTTTTTTTATTATTATTTAAAGAAAAATAATATTGCAATTTTTATTCATATAGTAATTATTATTTTATAAAATATTTGGATTTAGAGAAGTTGTTTGGAGAATAGAATAATATTTCTTAAAATAAAAAATAAAATTTAATATTTATTCTATCTCCAGTTTTAGAATAATAATAAAGATGATTTTTTAAGAAATATATCATGGTATTTTATATAATTAAGTGATGAGGAACTATTAACACATGAATTTCATATAAAACCTTCTCTTATCTCAAAAAACATATAAATGCTTTTAAGACCTTCATAAATATTCTTTTAAACAAAGACCTCCTAACATAGATTTGAATCGAATATGGGGTCAACCTGATTGTGTCACAAAAACTATGTGGTGGTATTCATCCCATTGCAATTGGCTATTTAGAAGATTATTAGCAAAAATAATTTCTATGGGTCAAAATCCAGAGTCTTGATTTATTAAGTATAAAGATTGAGTGTTAAGGGAGAAGTCAAAATAGCATGCCATTCGTATTATATTCAGAATCCTCTTCCTAACATGGATATTATCAAAGTCTACTTTAAAAATGTTTTGATAACAAATTTCGAGAACATATCATTAATTGTTTTACTCCTAAATTCCTAGAGACATACATGGTAAAATGTGTTAGAACTTGTAGCTTGTCCTGTAATTCACTGGGGAAACACACAATTAAGTGGCTTATCCACCCAAAAGGGGCATATCCAGTGTAGTGAATTTGCATCCACTGTTTGGCAGTAAAATTTACCCTACTGTCAAGGCCCATTTAATTAAAGAAAAAATGATCTGATTCAATAATTGACAATAATTTACCCTACTGTCAGGGCCCGACAGTAATTTACATCGGTAAGAATAGAGAAATAAGAAAATATATAATTAATAAATAGTGTGCTTATCTTTTTAGAGTATTTGTTTCAGTAGATTAATGAATTTTTGAATGATTATATGAATCCATAATTGTAACAAAATATTTGATAATAAATCTAGAAATAAAATTAATGAATGATTATAAAAAAAATTAATTAGTTTCTGTGAAAATTAATGTGGTGTATCATTGCATCTAATCATTAATAGTTTATCATATTAAAAACACACAATTAAGTTGCGTCCACAACCCAAAAGGGGGCATAACCAGTGCAGTGAATTTGCATCCACTGTTTGGCAGTAAAATTTACCCTACTGTCAGGGCCCATTTAATTTAATTAAGAAGATGATGGTACCTGATCCACTAATTGACAATATATCCTACTGTCAGGGCTCGATAGTAATTTACATAGATTATTGGTAAGAATAGAGAAAGATTAAATGCAATGATATTCAAAAATTCACTAATCTATTGAAACAAATACTCTAAAAAGATAAACTATTTATTAATTATATATTTTCTTATTTCTCTATTCTTATCAATAATCTATGTAAATTACTGTCGGGCCCTGACATTAGTGTAAATTCTGTCAATTACTGGATTAGGTATTATCAGGGTCAATTCCATATCAAATCAATCACTTTACAACACAAACATCTCAGATTTTGCTGAAATTTGGTATATAAGTTAATGAAGTGTTGTAATTGCCCCTTAACTCTACAAGAACCGGAGATATAGGGTCTCAAAGTAGCTCTGCGAGGTTATTTTTCGAAATAAATGATTTTTTAAAATCGGGATAACTTTAATATTAAATATAGTATATTTATCTATCATGGCTCATTTTATATCCCTAAGTAAACTCTTCCATATATTTTAAATGTTAATAATTTAATTTATAAATTTTTTTAAATCGCGGTCAAAAATTTGTAATTAATTTTTTTAAATGTTAGTATAAATTTTTTTTTCCAATTTTCAGATATTTTGTAAAGAGTATCAAGAATTATTCATATAAAAATTTTCAAAGTGGTAAAAAAAGAATTAAGTAAAAGAAATCCAAAAAATAAAAAAACAGCTAGATGGCGTTAATAATTTTAAATAGCTTAAGATTTTATTTTTGAAAATATAAGTCAATCTACCTTTTATTTATATCCTATAATATAATATTTGTTGAATAAAATCGCATTTTGGCACAAAAATAAAATTTCCGCTAGATAGCGCAAGTATTCTAAAATAAATAAATATGATTTAAATTAATTATCTATATTACAAAATTAATAATTCATTGAATCATATAAGTTATGTTGCTATATCCGATTCGTTGGAACATAATACGTGTTTATTTCAAAAAAAATTAATAAACTTTCTAAAAAATTATTTTTTATCAGAGCCTAAATACATTTATTATTATTCCGATGGGTCCGCGGCCCAATATAAAAACAGGAAAAATTTCATAAACTTGTGTTAACATAAGGTAGACTTCGCTATCTCAGCAGAATGGCATTTCTTTGCTACTGCGCATGGGAAAATTGCCTGCGATGGAATAGGAGGAACTGTGAAACGCATGGCTGCACGGGCTAGTTTACAACGACCTTATGAAAATCAAATAAAATCTTGCGATTTCTTCAAATTCGCTGAGGAAAATATAAAAAATATTCATTTTTCTTATACATCCCATGAAGAATATCAAGAGGAAGAATTTATAAAAGATCGGTTTTTCAAAAGCTCTTTTCAACCTGGAACTCAAAAAATTCATTCAGTTTATCCTGTTAGCTTATCACAAATAATTACGAAAAAATATTCCTGTGCTATTCAAAACAGAAAATATTCAAAATCGAATAGGCGAGGTATCAACCAATGATATAAAAGGGTATGCATGCTTTTATGATAATGAAGGGTGGGTAGCTTATATACTAGCCATTATTAGTCCTGAGGAGGTAAAGGTTATATTTTTACACCCTAATGGAACATCTAATTCCTTTTACTATCGATCGATAATAAGATATTCTTATTCGTCCGAAAAGTGATATTCTAACTGTTGTCAATCTTTTGACCACTACAGGAAGAACTTTATAATCTAACTCGTGAAGAATTCGAAATGGCTGTAAACAAATTAAATTTACGGATATCAATATAACCAAGCTTCTATACTATAATTAATTTTACTATGAATTAAATTAATAAAATATTATAGAATAAATAAAAATATCTACTGACATATTTCACAAAAATGAGGTTTTTACCTATTTTAGAATACTTGCTCTATCTAGCGGAAATTTTATTTTTGTGCCAAAATGCGATTTTATTCAGCAAATATTATATTATAGGATATAAATAAAAGGTAGATTGACTTATATTTTCAAAAATTAAATTTTAAGCTATTTAAAATTATTAACGCCATTTAGCTGTTTTTTTATTTTTTGGATTTTTTCTATTTAATTCTTTTTTTACCACTCTGAAAATTTTTATATGAACAGTTCTTGATACTCTTTACAAAATATCTGAAAATTGGAAAAAAAAATTTATACTAACATTTAAAAAAATTAATTACAAATTTTTGACCGCAATTTAAAAAAAATTTATAAATTAAAAATTAATCCCATTTAAAATATGTGGAAGAGTTTACTTAGGGCT